GCCTCACTACTGACTGATTTCCTGGACTCTGACCTCTGCCTGCTTTACTGACTTCGTTACTCTGCTGCCAGCCCTGACTTCTGCCTTAATCTGTACTGCGCTTCTGGATTTTGCCTCCTTCCTGTGCCATCTCCTGCAACTGGGCTCCAACTCCTGGTAAACTGTTACATAAGTCCCCTGGTGACTGTTACATAATGACCAGATCATTACCATGGAGCCCGCAGAGATGTCCTGGGGACCGGCAAACAGCAAGTGACCCTCCTGCCCCAAACCGTAAGTGAATTGCAGCGTGATTTGCTGAGTTAAAGGGGAACACACACCATGCTCCTGAACCTGATATTGCATTACCTGACAAGTTCACTGGGAAAAGGACTGAACTGTGATAATTTATCACAGCCTGCGAACTGCTCTTCACTTTTAAACCACACACATACCTCAATGATTATGTGAAGGTTCGCAATACTATTGCCCTGCTGTCGGGTAAACCCCAATCCTGGGCACTCCAACTCCTGCACTCCAACAGTCCAATACTGGACTCATGGGACTCCTTTGCTGCAGCAATGCATACATTATACAATGACACCCTGAGACCCTCTGCTGAATGCACTGCCCTCCGTTCCCTTCGGCAAGAGAGAAGTCCACTGGAGGATTATACTACAGATTTCCGGGAGCTAGCTGCTGACACCAGTTATAATGAGACTGGTCTAATAGAGCAATACAGATTGGGTCTGTCTGAGGCATTAAAAGATGAACTAGCCAGAGTTTGAGTACCCACATCATTGGAAGATCTGTTCCTTCTGGTCTCCCAGCTAGATCGCCAGTTCAGAGAAAGAAAGCAGGAGCAATTTGAAACCAGCTTTTTGCCCCATCAACATTCCAAACCTGCTGGTGAGACCTATACCCCTATCCCCACCATGGACATAGAGGAACCCATGCAAATTGGAACACTGAATACCATGCTCACGGTAAATGGAAAAAGCCAGAAGGCGAGCCAAAGGCCTTTGCTTCTATTGTGGCAAGGGAGGCCACTAAATCAGCTATTGCCTAATACATCCTGCAACTAGGCTCCATCTCCTGGTAAACTGCTACATAAGTCCACCTCGTGACTGTTACAACAACCTAACCTCACTCATCCAAACCCCATCAATACAGCCTAACCTCACTCATCCAAACCCCATCAATACAGCCCAACCTCACTCACCCAAACCCCATCAATACAGCCCAACCTCACTCACCCAAACCCCATCAATACAGCCCAACCTCACTCACCCAAACCCCATCAATACAGCCCAACCTCACTCACCCAAACCCCATCAATACAGCCCAACCTCACTCACCCAAACCCCATCAATACAGCCCAACCTCACTCACCCAAACCCCATCAATACAGCCCAACCTCACTCACCCAAACCCCATCAATACAGCCCAACCTCACTCACCCAAACCCCATCAATACAGCCCAACCTCACTCACCCAAACCCCATCAATACAGCCCAACCTCACTCACCCAAACCCCATCAATACAGCCCAACCTCACTCACCCAAACCCCATCAAGCAGCCCAACCTCGCTCCAACCTCACTCACCCCCCATCAACCCCATCACAGCCCAACCTCACTCACCCAAACCCCATCAATACAGCCCAACCTCACTCACCCAAACCCCATCAATACAGCCCAACCTCACCTCACCCAAACCCCATCAATACAGCCCAACCTCACTCACCCAAACCCCATCAATACAGCCCAACCTCACTCACCCAAACCCCATCAATACAGCCCAACCTCACTCACCCAAACCCCATCAATACAGCCCAACCTCACTCACCCAAACCCCATCAATACAGCCCAACCTCACTCACCCAAACCCCATCAATACAGCCCAACCTCACTCACCCAAACCCCATCAATACAGCCCAACCTCACTCACCCAAACTTCATCAATACAACCTAACCTCACTCATCCAAACTTCATCAATGCAGCTTAAACTCGCTCACCCAAACCCCATCAATGCAGCCCAACCTCGCTCACCCAAACCCCATCAATACAGCCCAACCTCACTCACCCAAACCCCATCAATACAGCCCAACCTCACTCACCCAAACCCCATCAATACAGCCCAACCTCGCTCACCCAAACCCCATCAATACAGCCCAACCTCACTCATCCAAACTTCATCAATGCAGCTTAAACTCGCTCTTCCAAACCCGTCAATGCAGCCTAAACTCGTTCTTTCCTATTCCACCAATATAACCTATCCTCCTTACTCTTTCCAACCCAGCCAAAACACTTTCTATTTTCACTCTTTTTTTCCAATCCCATCAGTACCCCATACATCTATTTTTTTTAGACCTTTAACATTCACATGGAACCTAGCTTTTTCCATTATAACCATTTATGTGACCAATACAGGGCAACTAACCAGTTCTCACTATTTCCCAGATCCATACCTCCTGCATGTAACCATTTTGTTAGGTCTATTCCCCAGTACATTTAACCTCTCTCTTCCCAGTTTTATCAATTCCCAAATCCATCCCTCATACATTCAACAATTTACAAGAGAAGTTGTAGAAAAGGAAAATATTTTTTATTGAGAACACATACTATATAAAGAGATTTGCCATCAGAAACATAATCAATAATACAGAGTGTGGAGCTTGTCCACATTTTCCATTCTTATAAATAAAAGACATAAAGGACCACTATAGGAAGAGGAAGGGAGGGAGAAAGCGAAAGGATTAAAAGGACCAATCAGCAAAGGTGACTAGTTGCGTAGAAGGAGGTTCCATGTCTAGAATCATTGGCCTATATAACGGATTCTGAGGTGTTTCATACTGCAAATGGCCTCACGTGTATAAACAAAATTTTCAGGATAATGTAAGGTTGAGGCAGACTGTTTCCAAAATATAGCAATCCGCACTCATGTAGAGGGAGAACATATTCACAATCTGAATTGTTGGCATTGAGCGTGGCAAATTTGGGTCTGGTTTAATGTCTGAAAAAAGTTTTAATACTTCATTCCACAAAGGGGAAGTTTTGGGATCTGTCCACCAAACGTGGAGACATGTTTGAGTTTCTCCGCACTATTGGGGGGCACAGACTGGATACATTCGAATATATGTACAGGAGTATTTGCAGGCCTATATACCCCAGGTTAAGACATTGTAGGCATTTCCCTTGATCTAATTATTTAAACTGTTTTATGTACTTCTACACTAATTGGGGTTATTTACCAAAAACTGATTGTGGAGAAATGACAACGGCAGGGATTCTATGAGGAGGTGGAAATGTTTGACAGGGATTCTGTGAGGAGGTGGCAGTGTTTGGCGGGGATTCTGTGAGGAGGTGGCAGTGTTTGGCGGGGACTCTGTGAGGAGGTGGCAGTGTTTGGCGGGGACTCTGTGAGGAGGTGGCAGTGTTTGGTGGGGACTCTGTGAGGAGGTGGCAGTGTTTGGCGGGGATTCTGTGAGGCGGTGGCAGTGTTTGGCGGGGACTCTGTGAGGAGGTGGCAGTGTTTGACAGGGACTCTGTGAGGAGGTGGAAATGTTTGGTGGGGATTCTGTGAGGAGGTGGCAGTGTTTGGTGGGGATTCTGTGAGGAGGTGGCAGTGTTTGGCGGTGTAATATCTGGCTGTGTTTTTATTTAGTTGAATAAGAGGTGTGTGTGTGTGTGTGTGTGTGTGTGTGTGTGTGTGTGTGTGTGTGTGTGTGTGTGTGTGTGTGTGTATATATATATATATATATATATATATATATATATATATATATATATATATATAAAGAGATAGATGATATTTCTTCTTGGGTCAAATGCTCGCAACATTAATATATGTCTATATTAATGAAAAGTACTAATACGCAATCTGACGTTCTTTATAAAAAAAAAAAAATGCATTTATTCTACTTCAACAGCAAACCATAATATACTTAACAGATGGTATTTCTTAACGACATTACAGAGAGTCGTCTTTGTATCAGCAACTCAGGACATCAGAAAGGCGAGCAAAACAGATCGTAGAAGGAAGAGAGCGAGGTCCTTTGTCCTCTGCCCTTTATAGCCCAAATTATGTCATAATGTTTAGTTTAGACTCTGGCCAAATAAGGAAATTCCCCATATAAAGACACCCCAAATCTCTTATACAGCAAATTCCAGAGACCTCATGGTACAGAATAGCAAACGCCATCTGTTCTGTTTAACCCATTAGACAGCCACACCTTAATATGTATTTTGAATAGGAACATACAGAATATGCAATATTCTACAGGCGGGGATTCTTTGAGGAGGTGGAAATGTTTTAGCGGGGATTCTTTGAGGAGGTGTCAGGTACTTTCAAGATGCAAAGGGTTTTCATTAAGTATTGTACAAGATGGAGAGTTTTTTTCAGACGGGATTCCATGAAGTAGGTCTTTGGCTAGAATTTTATAATGTGTAGAAAGCGATCTGCAGGGATTCTGCCCAATGAGACTGAAGAACATTCATGACTAATTTCAAATCCACATCCCCATTGTGTCCAATCTTGCTTTAAACTCCACCTGTCATACGTTGATTGATTTGTATTTCATATCTGCAAACTCTCCTAATTGGTCTATTTCATGGCAGCAGCAGGGGATCTTTGTACACAGAAATTTGTTTAACAAACTAAATTTAGTTTACTTTAAAAAAGGCGATTTAAATGTGTTTTCCCTGTTACAAAGGTTAAAATAAGTCATGTTCGGCTTGGGTTATTTCTTGTATTTAGCAACAAACCAGACACTTGACCCAGGATGAACGAATCCGTATTGTAAGCTGCTCACGCTAGTGATTAAGGTTCTCGTAGACCATGTTATTGTCTTCAGAGCTCTGTGGCTTCTACAAATACAAAGAAAAGTATTATTTTCTATTCACATTACATAGAAACACTACTACACCAAATTAACCACAGTAGTGCCAGCCGCCCCCTCACACTGCTACACCATGCCCTGTATACACTGCTACACCATGCCCTGTATACACTGCGACACCATGCCCAGTATGCCCTGCTACACCATGCCCTGCTACACCATGTACTGTTACACATGCACTACTACACCATGCCCTGTATATACTGCTACACCATGCCCTGCTACACCATGCACTGTATACACTGCTACACCATGCCCTGCTTCACCTTGCACTGTATACACTGCTACACCATGCCACGTATACACTACTACACCATGCCCTGTATATACTGCTACACCATGCCCTGCTACACCATGCACTGTATACACTGCTACACCATGCCCTGTATACACTGCTACACCATGCACTGTATACACTGCTACACCATGCACTGTATACACTGCTACACCATGCACTGTATATACTGCTACACCATGCCCTGCTACACCATGCCCTGTATACACTGCTACACCATGCCCTGTATACACTGCTACACCATGCCCTGCTACACCATGCACTGTATACACTGCTACACCATGCCCTGCTTCACCTTGCACTGTATACACTGCTACACCATGCCACGTATACACTGCTACACCATGCCACGTATACACTGCTACACCATGCCCTGTATACACTGCTACACCATGCACTGTATACACTGCTACACCATGCCCTGTATACACTGCTACACCATGCCCTGCTACACCATGCACTGTATACACTGCTACACCATGCCCTGTATACACTGCTACACCATGCCCTGTATACACTGCTACACCATGCACTGTATACACTGCTACACCATGCCCTGTATACACTGCTACACCATGCCCTGTATACACTGGCACAATTCATGCCCTGCTACACCATGCTGCCCCTGTATACACTGCTACACCATACACTGCTACACCATGCCCTGTATACACTGCTACACCATGCCCTGCTTCACCTTGCACTGTATACACTGCTACACCATGCCCCGTATACACTGCTACACCATGCCCTGTATACACTGCTACACCATGCCCTGTATACACTGCTACACCATGCCCTGTATACACTGCTACACCATGCCCTGCTACACCATGCACTGTATACACTGCTACACCATGCCCTGTATACACTGCTACACCATGCACTGTATACACTGCTACACCATGCCCTGTATACACTGCTACACCATGCCCTGCTACACCATGCACTGTATACACTGCTACACCATGCCCTGCTACACCATGCCCTGTATACACTGCTACACCATGCCATTACAGAGTGTCGGACACATTACCATCTTATGATGGAGTTGAGGTTTTTCTTTCCTTTCCGGTTTCTTCTCTCGATTACCAGTTGGCTTTATCTGAAAATATTAAGCACATAGAGAAAGCTCACTTTGGTGAATCGAAGGTCTCATTTCCATGTAAATTGCTTTAATTTATCCTTCCGACGGCTGCTACATGATTAATTCCTTTTATAAATCCCAAATGTGTTCATTATCAGTTTATAGATACTCAGTATCATTATACAGAGCGCTGTGTTCATTATCAGTGTATAGATACTCAGTATCGTTATACAGAGCGCTGTGTTCATTATCAGTGTATAGATACTCAGTATCGTTATACAGAGCGGTGTGTTCATTATCAGTGTATAGATACTCAATGTATTATACAGAGCGGTGTGTTCATTATCAGTGTATAGATACTCAGTATCATTATACAGAGCGGTGTGTTCATTATCAGTGTATAGATACTCAGTATTATTATACAGAGCGCTGTGTTCATTATCAGTGTATAGATACTCAGTATCATTATATAGAGCGCTGTGTTCATTATCAGTGTATATATACTCAGTTTTATTATACAGAGCGATGTGTTCATTATCAGTGTATAGATACTCAGTATCATTATACAGAGCGCTGTGTTCATTATCAGTGTATAGATACTCAGTATCATTATATAGAGCGCTGTGTTCATTATCAGTGTATAGATACTCAGTTTTATTATACAGAGCGATGTGTTCATTATCAGTGTATAGATACTCACTATCATTATACAGAGCGCTGTGTTCATTATCAGTGTATAGATACTCAGTATCATTATATAGAGCGCTGTGTTCATTATCAGTTTATAGATACTCACTATTATTATACAGAGCGCTGTGTTCATTATCAGTGTATAGATACTCAGTATCATTATATAGAGCGCTGTGTTCATTATCAGTGTATAGATACTCAGTATCATTATATAGAGTGCTGTGTTCATTATCAGTGTATAGATTCTCATTATCATTATATAGAGTGCTGTGTTCATTATCAGTGTATAAATACTCATTATCATTATATAGAGCGCTGTGTTCATTATCATTGTATAGATACTCAGTATCATTATACAGAGCGCTGTGTTCATTATCAGTGTATAGATACTCAGTATCATTATACAGAGCGCTGTGTTCATTATCAGTGTATCGATACTCATTTTCATTATATAGAGCGCTGTGTTCATTATCAGTGTATAGATACTCAGTTTTATTCTACAGAGCGATGTGTTCATTATCAGTGTTTAGATACTCAGTATCATTATACAGAGCACTGTGTTCATTATCAGTGTATAGATACTCAGTATCATTATATAGAGCGCTGTGTTCATTATCAGTGTATAGATACTCAGTATCATTATACAGAGCGCTGTGTTCATTATCAGTGTATAGATTCTCAGTATCATTATATAGAGTGCTGTGTTCATTATCAGTGTATAGATACTCAGAATCATTATATAGAGCGCTGTGTTCATTATCAGTGTATAGATACTCAGTATTATTATACAGAGCGCTGTGTTCATTATCAGTGTATAGATACTCATTATCATTATATAGAGCGCTGTGTTCATTATCAGTGTATAGATATTTAGTATTATTATACAGAGCGCTGTGTTCATTATCAGTGTATAGATACTTAGTATCATTATACAGAGCGCTGTGTTCATTATCAGTGTATCGATACTCATTATCATTATATAGAGCGCTGTGTTCATTATCAGTGTATAGATACTCAGTATCATTATACAGAGCGGCGTGTTCATTATCAGTGTATAGATACTCATTATATAGAGTGCTGTGTTCATTATCAGTGTATAAATACTCATTATCATTATATAGAGCGCTGTGTTCATTATCATTGTATAGATACTCAGTATCATTATACAGAGCGCTGTGTTCATTATCAGTGTATAGATACTCAGTATCATTATACAGAGCGCTGTGTTCATTATCAGTGTATCGATACTCATTTTCATTATATAGAGCGCTGTGTTCATTATCGAGGGTCAATATAGATGCTCAGTATCGGTATACAGGTATTTATCTGATTTCATTATCGAAGTGTCTATGGAATGCTCAGTATCATTTATCTGAGCTGTGTTCATTATCAGTGTATAGATACTCAGTACCCTTATACAGAGTGCTGTGTTCATTATCAGTGTATAGATACTCAGTATCATTATACAGAGCGGTGTGTTCATTATCAGTGTATAGATACTCAGTATTATTATACAGAGCGCTGTGTTCATTATCGGTGTATAGATACTCAGTATCATTATACAGAGCGGTGTGTTCATTATCAGTGTATAGATACTCAGTATCATTATACAGAGCGGTGTGTTCATTATCAGTGTATGGATACTCAGGTTCATTATACAGAGCGGTGTGTTCATTATCAGTGTATAGATACTCAGTATTATTATACAGAGCGCTGTGTTCATTATCAGTGTATAGATACTCAGTATCATTATACAGAGCGATGTGTTCATTATCAGTGTATAGATACTCGGTATTATTATACAGGCTGTGTTCGTTATCAGTGTATAGATACTCAGTATCATTATACAGAGCGCTATGTTCATTATCAGCGTATAGATACTCATTATACAGAGCGCTGTGTTCATTATCAGCGTATAGATACTCACGATCATTATACAGAGCGGCGTGTTCATTATCAGCGTATAGATACTCAGTATCATTATACAGAGTGCTGTGTTCATTATCAGTGTATAGATACTCATTATCATTATACAGAGCGCTGTGTTCATTATCAGTGTATAGATACTCAGTATTATTATACAGAGCGCTGTGTTCATTAACAGTGAATAGATACTCAGTATTATTATACAGAGCGCTGTGTTCATTATCAGTGTATAGATACTCAGTATCATTATACAGAGCACTGTGTTCATTATCAGTGTATAGATACTCAGTATCATTATATAGAGCGCTGTGTTCATTATCAGTGTATAGATACTCAGTATCATTATACAGAGCGCTGTGTTCATTATCAGTGTATAGATACTCAGTATCATTATATAGAGCGCTGTGTTCATTATCAGTGTATAGATACTCAGTATCATTATACAGAGCGCTGTGTTCATTATCAGTGTATAGATACTCAGTATCATTATTTAGAGTGCTGTGTTCATTATCAGTGTATAGATACTCAGAATCATTATATAGAGCGCTGTGTTCATTATCAGTGTATAGATACTCAGTATTATTATACAGAGCGCTGTGTTCATTATCAGTGTATAGATACTCAGTATCATTATACAGAGCGCTGTGTTCATTATCAGTGTATAGATACTCAGTATCATTATACAGAGAGCTGTGTTCATTATCAGTGTATCGATACTCATTTTCATTATATAGAGCGCTGTGTTCATTATCAGTGTATAGATACTCAGTATTATTCTACAGAGCGCTGTGTTCATTATCAGTGTATAGATACTCAGTATCATTATATAGAGCGCTGTGTTCATTATCAGTGTATAGATACTCAGTATCATTATACAGAGCGCTGTGTTCATTATCAGTGTATAGATACTCAGTATCATTATACAGAGTGCTGTGTTCATTATCAGTGTATAGATAGTCATTATCATTATATAGAGCGCAGTGTTCATTCTCAGTGTATAGATACTCAGTATTATTATATAGAGTGCTGTGTGCATTATCAGTGTATAGATACTCAGCATTATTATACAGAGCGCTGTGTTCATTATCAGTGTATAGATACTCAGTATTATTATACAGAGCGCTGTGTTCATTATCAGTGTATAGATACTCAGTATTATTATACAGAGCGCTGTGTTCATTATCAGTGTATAGATACTCATTATCATTATATAGAGTGCTGTGTTCTTTATCAGTGTATAGATAATCAGTATCATTATACAGAGCACTGTGTTCATTATCAGTGTATAGATACTCAGGATCAAAATAAAGAGCACTGTGTTCATTATCAGTGTATAGATACTCAGGATCAAAATAAAGAGCGCTGTGTTCATTATCAGTGTATAGATACTCATTATCCTTATACAGAGCGCTGTGTTCATTATCTGTTCATAGATACTCTGTATCATTATACAGAGCGGTGTGTTCATTATCAGCATATAGATACTCAGTATTATTATACAGAGCGGTGTGTTCATTATCAGTGTATAGATACTCAGTTTTATTATACAGAGCGCTGTGTTCATTATCAGTGTATAGATACTCAGTATCATTATATAGAGCGCTGTGTTCATTATCAGTGTATAGATACTCAGTTTTATTATACAGAGCGATGTGTTCATTATCAGTGTATAGATACTCAGTATCATTATACAGAGCGCTGTGTTCATTATCAAGTGTATAGATACTCAGTATCATTATATAGAGCGCTGTGTTCATTATCAGTGTATAGATACTCAGTTTTATTATACAGAGCGATGTGTTCATTATCAGTGTATAGATACTCAGTATCATTATACAGAGCGCTGTGTTCATTATCAGTGTATAGATACTCAGTATCATTATATAGAGCGCTGTGTTCATTATCAGTGTATAGATACTCAGTATCATTATATAGAGTGCTGTGTTCATTATCAGTGTATAGATACTCATTATCATTATATAGAGTGCTGTGTTCATTATCAGTGTATAAATACTCATTATCATTATATAGAGCGCTGTGTTCATTATCATTGTATAGATACTCAGTATCATTATACAGAGCGCTGTGTTCATTATCAGTGTATAGATACTCAGTATCATTATACAGAGCGCTGTGTTCATTATCAGTGTATCGATACTCATTTTCATTATATAGAGCGCTGTGTTCATTATCAGTGTATAGATACTCAGTATTATTATACAGAGCGCTGTGTTCATTATCAGTGTATAGATACTCAGTATCATTATACAGAGCGGTATGTTCATTATCAGCGTATAGATACTCAGTATCATTATACAGAGCGCTGTGTTCATTATCAGTGTATAGATACTCAGTATCATTATACAGAGCGCTGTGTTCATTATCAGTGTATAGATACTCAGTATTATTATACAGAGCGCTGTGTTCATTATCGGTGTATAGATACTCAGTATCATTATACAGAGCGGTGTGTTCATTATCAGTGTATAGATACTCAGTATCATTATACAGAGCGCTGTGTTCATTATCAGTGTATAGATATTCAGTATTATTATACAGAGCGGTGTGTTCATTATCAGTGTATAGATATTCAGTATTATTATACAGAGTGGTGTGTTCATTATCAGTGTATAGATACTCAGTATCATTATACAGAGCGCTGTGTTCATTATCAGTGTATAGATACTCATTATCATTATATAGAGCGCTGTGTTCATTATCAGTGTATAGATATTTAGTATTATTATACAGAGCGCTGTGTTCATTATCAGTGTATAGATACTTAGTATCATTATACAGAGCGCTGTGTTCATTATCAGTGTATCGATACTCATTATCATTATATAGAGCGCTGTGTTCATTATCAGTGTATAGATACTCAGTATCATTATACAGAGCGCTGTGTTCATTATCAGTGTATAGATACTCATTATCATTATATAGAGCGCTGTGTTCATTATCAGTGTATAGATACTCAGTTTTATTATACAGAGCGATGTGTTCATTTTCAGTGTATTGATACTCAGTATTATTATACAGAGTGCTGTGTTCATTATCAGTGTATAGATACTCAGTATCATTATACAGAGCGCTGTGTTCATTATCAGTGTATAGATACTCAGTATCATTATATAGAGTGCTGTGTTCATTATCAGTGTATAGATACTCAGAATCATTATATAGAGCGCTGTGTTCATTATCAGTGTATAGATACTCAGTATTATTATACAGAGCGCTGTGTTCATTATCAGTGTATAGATACTCATTATCATTATATAGAGCGCTGTGTTCATTATCAGTGTATAGATACTTAGTATTATTATACAGAGCGCTGTGTTCATTATCAGTGTATAGATACTTAGTATCATTATACAGAGCGCTGTGTTCATTATCAGTGTATCGATACTCATTATCATTATATAGAGCGCTGTGTTCATTATCAGTGTATAGATACTCATTATCATTATATAGAGCGCTGTGTTCATTATCAGCGTATAGATACTCAGTATTATTATACAGAGCGCTGTGTTCATTATCAGTGTATAGATACTCAGTATCATTATACAGAGCGCTGTGTTCATTGTCAGTTTATAGATACTCAGTATCATTATATAGAGTGCTGTGTTCATTATCAGTGTATAGATACTCAGTATTATTATACAGAGCGCTGTGTTCATTATCAGTGTATAGATACTCAGTATTATTATACAGAGCGCTGTGTTCATTATCAGTGTATAGATACTCAGTATTATTATACAGAGCGCTGTGTTCATTATCAGTGTATAGATACTCAGTATCATTATATAGAGCACTGTGTTCATTATCAGTGTATAGATACTCATTATCATTATATAGAGCGCTGTGTTCATTATCAGCGTATAGATACTCAGTATTATTATACAGAGCGCTGTGTTCATTATCAGTGTATCAATACTCAGTGTCATTATACAGAGCGCTGTGTTCATTATCAGTGTAAAGATACTCAGTATCATTATATAGAGCACTGTGTTCATTATCAGTGTATAGATACTCAGTATCATTATATAGAGTGCTGTGTTCATTATCAGTGTATAGATACTCATTATCATTATATAGAGCGCTGTGTTCATTAACAGTGTATAGATACTCAGTGTCATTATACAGAGCGCTGTGTTCATTATCAGTGTATAGATACTCAGTATCATTATATAGTGCGCTGTGTTCGTTATCAGTGTATAGATACTCAGGATCAATATAAAGATCGCTGTGTTCATTATCAGCGTATAGATACTCAGTATCATTATACAGAGCGCTGTGTTCATTATCTGTTTATAGATACTCAGTATCATTATATAGAGCGCTGT